CCTTAGCCTTGGAGTATAAGCTGGACCTAATTCTATGGTTATAATAAATAGAATATGGTAAGTATTCTAATTATGATGGAATATGTATTTTGGAGACATCAGGGGTCAAATGTGTCAGGTTACTGTCCAAGCCAGGCTGGGAAAGCATAGACACCCCATGAAACTGATGGCAAATGGCCCTGTATTCCTTTTTTTGACCTGAGAGGTTGTTCCTCTCAGCCTCAGCCTCCACAGTCCTTGCTGTGATGCAGATTCAGAAGTAACCAATCCCAAGGGAGGACTCACACTGTATAGAGGATAGGGAAAACTATCCTTATATTAACCACCAAAATTAGGAGTCAGAATGCTTCCACCCACTGCACCCTGGGTTGCAGTTTTACCAATTGCCAAGTACCGTGAGAGAACAAACACCCAACCAGCTATATGAAGCAGGTTTATTACATACAGATAGGCAGCAAGGGACAACAGAAGCCTAGAAGCACTATGAGCCAGTCCCGTCAGGTTCAAGAAAGTTGCCAATGATGGATGGAGTCTCAACTGCATGTGCCCTAATTGCCCAACAGCTGAAGGTCCCCAAAAGGTAGCCTGACCAGGGTTATATGCCTCAGGGGCATTGTGAATCACTGAAAAAAGCTTTGAAGGACTTCCTGCTTCCACAGGAGAGAGGAACAAAAGCCCAGGCTGTCCCAGGCAGTTCCTCCCTAACTCAAAATGTTGCATTCCCTAGGAGGGACAGGAACAAAGTCTGGGCTGTTTCAGGTAGTTCCTGTGCATCTCAGGATATTTACTGCATTTCCAGCACATTCTAAAGTTATTCTTGAGAACTGCAAGCAAGAATGAAGGAGAACTGTGTCAGTCCATGACCTCCTAAAGAAGTGCTCTGCATCTGTCATCAGATAGCAGCAGCAGCAGGAGGAAGATGAGGAGAGGCAGTGAGTCTGATTCGGCTGGGATGAATGAGGGATCTGGTGGTAAAGAGGAAAGGAAGTGAAGAAACAGAGACACAAATCTAACACCTGGTGCGTACAAATACTCCCCCAGGGAATCCTCCATGGCCAGAAAAATGGGGAAAATAACAGTCTCCAATCTTGCTGTGCTGTCCCCTGTGCCCCAGCTTTCCCTTATTTCAATTCAGAATAAATATCCCAGGGAGCCCCGAGTGGCGAACACTGTCAATATGTCTTTGTTCATCTCCAGAACAGATTATCACAGCTCCTTACTCCCCGCAAGTCCTAATCTCTCTATTCTTATTAGATAGGATATTAATTCAGTTGTGTGCAGCAGCAACCCAGATGGTCAAATAGGAAAGTAGTGTGTATGTCTCCCATGACAGTGAGGCAGATAGTCCAGGGCCACTAGGGCATCTGCATTATGAAGTTGTCTAGGCATCTGGGCTCCTTTGGCCTTCCTTCTCTGCTATATAATAATTAGAAGGGTATTGCCCTTATTAGCATGACTTGGAGCACCCAAGACCATGTCTATGGTCCTTGAGGAGGGCAGGGAAAGCTGGGAAGGAGAAAAAGGCCTGGACTTTTAAGGGCAAAACCTACAATTTCACATCTGCTTCATCTTATTGGCCAAAACTTAGCGCTAGCCTCAAGAAAGGCTGTAGAATACAGCTTTTAATCAGGGCGGCTATGTGCCCAGATAACTCCATTGGTGATATAGTTTATGTATTTGTCCCTTCCAAATCTCATGTTGATGTGTGATCCCCAGGGTTGGAGGTGGGGCCTAGTGGGAAGTGTCTGGGTCATGAGGGTGTATCCTCATGAATGGCTGGGTGCCCTCCTCATGAATATGAGTGAGTTCTCACTTTATTAGTTACTGCGAGATTTGACTGTTAAAAAGAGCCTGGCTCCACCTCCTCTCTTTTGCTCACTCTATTGCCGTGTAACACATCTGCTCCCTGTTTGCCTTCCACTCTGATTGAGAGCTTTGTGAGGCCCTCAACAGAAGCAGATGTTGGTGCCATGCGTTGTGTCAGCCTGCAGAACTGTGAGCCAAATAAACATCTTTTAAAAATAAATTACCCAGTCTCAGGTATTTCTGCATAGCAATGCAAAACACCAGTGGTGTGCTACCAGTGGTGTGGAATAAGGATAATTTTTGCTATAATTTGCAAATTTTAAAAAATCAGGGGCAATAGAATTATCAATATCTTGTCATTATCACTATCTTTTTATCTATCATTATCAGTATCTTAAACAGAACCAGATTTGGATGTTAAAAATGGAATAATCTCAAAACATATCATTAAGTGAACATAAAGGTGCAGATTCAGTGTGGTAAAATATCTGGGAAAAAAGGGAAACCACCATCTATAATACTGTAGAAACTGGTAACCGTGATTGTGTCCAGGCAGGGAATTTGGAAAAGCTGTTGGTGGGATAGAGGATGGAATTTACTTTTCACTGTATACATATTTTTATTACACTAAGTTTTTAAACTTTGTGCATCTAATAGATATTCAAAAATAACTTTGAGGATGGGCACTGTGGCTCCTGCCTGTAATCGCAGCACTTTAGGAGGCCAAGGGATGCCGATCGCTTGAAGCCAGAGTTTGAGACCAGCCAGGGCAACATGATGAAACCCTGTCTCTACAAAACACTATGAAAATTAGCCGGGCATGGTGGTGTGCACCTATAGTCCCACCTATTTGGGAGGCTGAGGGCAGGAGGGTCGCCTGAGCCCGGGAAGGTTGTGGCTGCAGTGAGCTCTGATTGTGCCACTGCACTACACCCTGGGCAACAGAGTGAGACCTTGTCTCAAAATAATAATAATTTTGAATTACAAAGTTGATTTAGTGATGGTGGTTATTTAAAGATGCAGGAGGTCTGAAAAGTAACAGGGAGAAATATTAAAAGAGCGTGCCCTCCCAGGTTCACAGAGAACTCAAGAGGAGCCTTTCCAGTAACATGTTTGATTTTTGTATCCAGGGATTTGCTTTCATAAACGAAGCACACGTCTGCAGGTCATCTGATCCAACTCAGGACCTGGGTTAAAATGACCTCAGTGTTGGTCCAACCTGTGCAAGACACTGTCCAGGGAAGAGGCCTGGCTACCTGCTTTTCTTGGGGTCTCTGACCCCACTTCTGTCTTGCTAGATGACTGTCTTCTTCCCTCTTTGCTTGCAAGTTTTGATGGAGCAGAAAGGCTCATATGGCAGGGAACTGAGGTCAGCCTCTGGCCACCAGGCCATTAAGACTGAGGATGTCAGTCTAACAAGGAACTTAATCCTTCCAATAATCACCTAAGCCTGGAAGTAGATCCTTCCCCAGTTCAGCCTTCAGATAGAAACCAGCCATGGCAGATACTCTGATTAAAGCCTTGTAAGAAACTCTATGCAGAGGAAGCAGCACAGCTATGTCTGGGTTTCTAACCTACAGAAAATGTGAGATAATACACATTACTATAAGCTGCTACATTGGTGGTAATTTCTTACATAGCAATAAGTAACTGAAGAAACATTTCACAGCTTTCACTGAGTTAAGTGACCCTTAGGGCCAGTTAGAACTTCTCTCATCCCTTCCCTATGGCAGCCCTTATCTTTCTCCTAGGTTGACAACCCGCTTTCTCTTTACCAGTGTAAACGTCAAGTTCTCTTACTATCTCAGTTGCTCTCCTCTCACATCATCCAGGAGACCCCACTAGGAAGTGGCAGGAAGAATGGAGGAAGTGGCAGCAGGGGCTTGGCTAGACTCCCCATCACGGTTCATTCTGTAATGCCAGTATTACCAGGGGTTCAGTTGGAAGAAGGGGCCAGCAGGGATTGGAAGGAGATGAGGGAACACCCAAAGGCTCTCAGGCCCACATGGGCTGTGTTCTCAGACTGTGAAATAAAAGGTGATGAATAGACTCTGCATGGCCACTGCTGGTCTTTACCCTTCAGCATTCTGGATAGTGCACTTCATACACCCTGATGCAAACACTATTGACTCCAGGGCAGATATAACCCATCCTTTCCCTACCTGCAGCAAGAACACCCCATCAGCCTATGGGTCACTTTTTTTTTTTTTTTTTTTTTTTGAGATGGAGTCTCGCTCTCTTGCCCAGGCTGGAGTGCAGTGGCACAATCTCGGCTCACTGCAATCTCTGCCTCCGAGGTTCAAGCGATTCTTCTGTCCCAGCCTCCTGAGTAGCTGGAACTGTACAGGTGCGTGCCACCACACCCAGCTAATTTTTGTATTTTTAGTAGGGACGGGGTTTCACCATATTTGGCCAGGCTGGTCTTGAACTCCTGACCTCATGATCTGCCCACCTCAGCCTCCCAAATTGCTGGGATTACAGGCATGACCCACCACACCTGGCTGACTATGGGTCACTTTGACACAGGATTTTTCTCAGCCAATTGCCAGTCCAAGACCTCTGAGGCTGGTGATTCCCCACCCCCCACCCCAGGCCTCACTAGGGTGGGGGTCACCACAGGAGATGCCCCATTTACTCAGCCCATTGGGCCACGCCTGGCTTGCACTCCAGCGTGGATCCTGTGGCCGCCACAACTGTGTGCTCAGCCCCTGATGGGAGGGAGTGTCTGAGCAAGCAAGTGCACAACCCAGCCAGCCATTCCAAGTTCCGGCACAGGAGTGGGCTCTGTGTGGGGCTTGCAGCTGGATCCCCCTGGCATCCAGGTGAGGGGGTACATACAGGGTGGTGCCCAGGCAGTGGTGCCTGCAACTCTGAAGCCCCCAAGGAGGTGTTACAGCATGCTAATTAGCTCTTTTAGTCCCACTCATTAACCGCTCTGTCAGCTCTGTTGCCACTTCCCATCATAAGGGGTGGCTGCCCTCAGTGGGCAGAGGGCCACAGTGGGTTCCCAGTTCTTGTCCCCTGTCCAAGAAGAATGAGGTTACACTGACAGTTGTAGGGTGAAGAGGGTAAAGAATAGCTTTATTGAGTGATGAAACAGCCATCAGCAGAGAGGGGATGCGAGGGTGGTTTCTTACCCCAACCTGAAGGCCGGAGAGTCCCTCTGTGTATCTGTATCTTGGACTTTTATAGGCACAGGTAGCACTGCATAGGGCATCATTCAATTGGCTTAAAAGCATTATTCAGAAAGAACCAATTGGGAAAGAGTGGGCAAACAGGAACAGAAATTCTCACTTTGAGTTGTGGGTTTCATCCAGAACAAGCAGCCCAGTGTTCAGGCTTCAGGCTGTTTTTGGCTTGAAGGTGCGATTTCACTGGGCACCTGCCCTTATCTGCCTAGGGATTTGCCTCCTGCCACTATCAACTTCAAGCCCCTCAGCTCCCTGTAGTTGCCCTCATGAGGACTGTGGCAAATGCAGTAGACTCCAGTTCAGTCTCTGTGCCTGGAGAAGAAAGGGAAGCTGGTCAGAGCCCACTGGAGGTGACTCATAGGTGGCCAGTGGACAAATATGGGGGTCAGCAGGACAGCGTGGTTACTTGGGCTCAGCAGTCAGACTGTTTCCTTAGAATCATGAATCAGCCCACTGAGAGTCAACGAATCTCCTACTGACCTCAGTTTCCTTGTCTGAAAAATGGGGTTGACAGTTGTCCCTGTGTCATGGGGCTCTTATGAAGTTTAAATGATTTAATTCCTGTAAATCCCTTAGGAAAGTGACTGACACTTTTATTAATGCAGAATTCTGTAAAAGGGAGGGACCCATCCATTTAGCTCCTGTTTCCTTATTCCAAGTGTGAAGAGGACCAGCTCTCCCCAACACTTATCCTGACCCCTCTTCCATGCCTGCAGGTGGAGCGCTGTTCTGCCCCTTACAACCCACAGGGTGGGGGCAACCAAGAAAAGGCCAGGGTGGTGCCAGTATGAGGAAGTCACAGAGCAATACACACAAACACACCCACACATGCTATGCTTCTATACATCAATGTGCAGACACATACACATACAAAAACCCATACATGCTTATAAACACACACATAGATACAAATCTACATACATACAGATACGTATACCTTATACATCTACATGTACACACAGAGACACATGCACATTACACACTCCCTTCAGATTTGCCATTTCAAGCACTGGCTTATTCCCACTTAATCTCTTATAAGCAACTTAGGAATCTGAAAGAGAAGGACCTGAGAATTTGTGTCCCATGAGAAACAGACCCATTTCCCCAGGACTCTGGGAGTTCCTGAGCCTCATGTAGCCCTGTGCCTGAAAGTTCATGGAGGAGCAGAAAAAATGCTAACTCAGATCCAGGTCCTAGTGTCAGGGGCAGCCACAGGAACTGACTTTCCCTGGGTATTGAGGATCTGGGAGTCCAGGTCTCCTTCTTCCGACCAAACCTGTGGCTGCTCAACCTCCCCTCCATAGCCAGGGGCCCCTTCCAGGCTTTGCTGCACAGGAGGAGTCTCCACAGGGGCTCCAGAAGGAAAAGGGGCAGAAGTTTAACCCCTTCGGGTGAGGCACCCGTAGGTGAGAATAAGAAAACCCAGAGTAACATTCTGCATCTGAACTCTTGTTCCTCCAGAACACAACTCCTGTAACCACAGCCCCAGTGATCACAGCTCCAGCAACCACAACGCCAGTGACTACAGGTCAGTGGTTACTTGTGGCTGGGAAATATTCCCCTGATAGGGATGGTGGGCTCAGAAGTTGGCTCTCAGAAAGGAAGGATAGGGTGAGGGGTGCTGACCCCCCAGCCTCAGCTCTAACTCTGCTGAAAATCTCCAGAAGGGCCCCTTCTCTCCTTTCCTTGAGAAGTGGCTCTCTGCCTACATCCATCTCCTTACCCCATCTCAGGGTGAGGAGCCCCTCGTGCTGTACATGGCATGTTTATCTTTGCTATTCTCCAGAAGGCACCACCACAGCCACTCCCTTCTAGAAGGTTCCATCTCCTGCAGGCCTGGTGTCCACAAGCTCTATGGTCCCTCTTCATTATGTTACCAGGTCAGTGTGATTTCCACAGGGCCCAGAACCCTAGAGTTCATCTGTGCACCGGGAGGCTCTGTGGAAGAGAAAGCAGAGAGGGCCCAGGCATAGGCCTGTTGAATGGTGTCTACTCCAATGACAAAGGCAAAGGCACCATAACTCTTGATGCTTTGGCTGCTGCCAGGGCAAGGCAGGCAGCATGCCTGAAGGAACGCAGCCGAAGCCTAGCAGGGATGCAAGGAAAGGGCCTTGGAGCTCAGTGCACACATTCTCCTTCAGAGTAAGAACCTCTTCAAAATTTCTCTTATCAAGCCACCAGTCAGTGTTTCTAGATAAATGTTAGTTACTGAGATGTATAGCTGCCGGATCTCCAGTGGGAAAGGTCAGAAGTGTGAGAAACCTTTAAGAATCCATAAAAAAAGCCCAGTGGTCTCCTGGAAGCAGTTCCATCTCATCAAACACTTTAAAAAATGGGGCAGGTAGCACTGCCCAAGGGACGCAAGATGGGAAGCTCCCCAAATCCACATCTCTTGCTTGTGGGGGAGCCATCCTTAGCACATCGGCCCTACCCAACCAACAGTAGATACCAACATCCCTATGATGGATGAGCTATGGGGAAGTCCCCCCAATCTGGAGAATTGGCCCCCAGTGGGGACTTGGGGAGGGCTGAGTTGGGGAGCTGTGGGAGGTCATCACCAGTGGGGCTCAAGCTTTCCCCTCCAAGCTCCGAGGATCTCCGCAGCCACAGGATGCATTCCTTCTCCACTTAGATCTTGTCTGTGAAGTACCCATTCGCCTTCCATTTCTACTTGGTGTAGAATGTAGGGGGCAATGAATGAGACTGCGTATTGCAGAGGGTCCACGTCCAAGCACAGGCAGTTTTTAACTGTAGTAGCCACACCACCAGTACCTGTGGTTCCTGCCAGCCCCTCCATTGCCCAGGCCAGGCAGTGTCAGTCTGGCAGATGCACCCCCAAGGACTCTCCCTCATGGTGTCTGCTCCTCTACCCCACCCTTCTGCTCTCACAGCTGCTCCTTAGGTGACATTCACACTTAGACAAAGTTGTCTGGTCCCCTGATTATGATCTCCTTTACTTGCTGTCAGCTGTGCCTGGGAAGTGGTCTATGCTTAATTCCAGGATACAATGAAAAAGCACTGGACGGGCAGGTAGAGTCTTGGGCTTTACCATGAACTGTGTTGTTCGGGCAAGTTGTCTAACCTCCACAGCTCTGTTCATCTTGTATATATGGGTCGGGGGGTGAAGACTGAGCCCACAGGTCTGCTTCTTTGCTCAGTGTAACAGATTCTAAGTGCAAATCCCTGAAACAGGATCACAGTACACAACATTAACAAGAGGGTACATTATGCACAGTACAGCTTTCCTTGAGGTTCTATAGAATGCAAACCTTAAGTACCAACCCTCTGCTGAAAAATCCTCTAATGAATTTCAAGGTTAAATATAAACTGTGGAATTGTTCTGCCTAGAGTAGTCACACCCTCCTCTGGGGTCCCACAGTTCACAGGCTCAAAACTCCTGATCCAACAGTTACACGCTGCACCAACTTTCAGACTCTCTCTCCTAGTAGGCAGTGAGCCCCTAGAAGGCAGGGACTATGTAACAATGGCCTGGCAATTTTGTTGAATAGCTGTTCCTGTCAGGATCAGCTCATAAAAAGCCAAGCACTGCTCAGCTTTTATTATGCCTCTCACTGATTTATACCTTCATTTGGCATTCAAGAACTTGTTCCAATAGTGCCAAACAGTTGGGAGATATTTACTAAAAATTATTGAACTGCAGTCTATCCTCTGAATCCACTGTGCTCAATCCCACCACACACCCTGCTGCTTCCTAACTTCTAGCTGCTTGGAATGTCTTTCATTTTCTTCATCCACTCAAATGGTACACATCCCTCAGGTTCCATGCAAAGTTCCATCTCATTCATGAAACTCCCTGACCACTGGGATATCTGGCCTATGAACTTCAGCAAACTATTTCTCTGCATTTCATTTGGCATTTGAGGAGGGACTGGTCTCTGACGTCTCTTGGTATGCCTCACAGAGTCAGTAAAGTGTTCCCAGACCTATGGGTACCACCCCATATTGTTAGCTCTTTGAGGATACACACTAGATTATACTTTTCTGGTTCTCCACCCTGAGCACCCAAAAGGCAGATGATAGGTACATCTCAGCTCCAAAGAGACTGCTGAACATTGAGTGAATTAATGACACACAGAAACTGACCTGGTGACCAGTCTGGGCCAGTTCACTCACATGACTGTAGGGGCTGGCAAGTACATAATTTTCAGGTTAGACTGGCAGGCTGGAGATCCAGGGAAGAGCTGACGCTGCAGCCTGAGGTCACAGGTAGCAGTGTTGCTGGGTTGCTGCACATTCTTTACTGTGAGATTTAGAAAAACTGTCAATTTATCATTATCCTAATATTGTCAAAAATTTAGATAGCCTATTTGCTTTTCTTTTGTTCTTATTGTTGGTGTGTTGTTATTCCTGTGAAAATCATAATTGTGCAGTGTTTTGATATCTATGAATTCAAAAACTTAAACAGAATATTAGGAACAGTAGTAATAAAGTGACAAGCTTTGGATACCTTTTTGTTTCTGAATATTGTAAACATGAATCTTCTGGATCTCAGAGGGAACAAGGAAGCAATGACATTAATAATGAATCATAATCTGGAACACCTGATATTGTACAAAAAGCATAACAACTGGAAATGCCTTTGCAACTGCATAAGTTAGTTCAAGGAAACAATTAATTTGCATTTCTAAAATTTAAAAAATCCCCAATAACTTTTGACAAAACTCACAGATGGCTTATTATTGCTAGCAATGTCAATACTGGATGCAAATCATGCTCAAAAGCTGTGTGAATAGCCAAAAGTGCTAAGCACATTCTGTCAGTGCTCATAATTCAAGGAAAACATTAGCAAAATTCAAAGAGAAAAACTTGAAAAATATTAAGAATAGCTTTGTACAATAAAGTATTTGAAAAAAGCAACACACTGGAAAAACGCCATCAGATGTTAGTATACAGTTTAGCCAAATGTGTAATTAAATACGCATGTTACATCATTAAGTAGAAGCTTTTAAACAATTATACATAGTGCATTTTATCACAGTATAGATTAATGGTTCTGCTGGTTGCAAACCATATTCTACATAATAAGACAACTTTTGGAAAATTTATTAATCCAAGCAATAAATCATTATCAGTGAAGTGTCAACCATTTCACACAATGTATTTAAGTTTTAGTTCCTTAAATACTAAACATAAGACTTACAGGAAAATGGGTTTTTGTTGATCTGAGGAACTCAAACATACCAACCTTACTCATCAGTGCTCAAGAAAAATAGCTTTAATGTGAGATAGCTGTATGACGGTACAGATAGGGCCAGTATATGCAATGAAGAAAGTTCAGGGTTTCACCAAAATTTTAGCAAAATTTCAGGGTTTAAAAATCTAGAATATTATCGCAGAAGTCACATGACTGTCTCACATTTACTCTTCCTCGTGTCCTGATCCTGCTGACTTGTCCACATGGGCAACTAGGAAACTGGCACAACTGTACTTCTTTGTTCACTTTGGTCACCACCATTAGCTCTGCTGTTGGGCTGCCCATGTGTAGGCAGATTTCATGAAAATATCAGGTTCCCTAAGCAACATGAACTGGGAGGCTCAGAGAGGGGAGATTTCCTTAGTCACTGACTTACTGAGGGATTGACTCAAGATTCCCAGGCACTAGACAAAAGTAGTCGGGAAAGGAATCATTTCCTGATTGCCTGTAGGGGAAAAAAGAAACTATTCTTTGGATAGAACCGTCTGGATGGACTCTAACACAGTAAAGTGAAAGCAGTGCATTCTTCTTCTCAGAAGGACGGCAGATGGAGCACCATGCATCCCCACAGAGGGGCTGTCCTGCGGTCCTTACAGGAGTTGCCAAGCTCCCAGAATCTCCTCCTGCTGCTATCCCCACCCTGCCTGAAAGAGGTGAGAAGGATGATGGGGAGGGAGGCAAACAGACTCGGGATAAGAGGAGTGAGTGCCCTGGTAAAACCAATTACTTAGTTAAACCTTTGGCCAAAACTCTAGGAAGGGAGGCACAAAATGGAACAGTGTTTTTTTGTTTGTTTGTTTTGCTTCTCTAGGTAAAGTTTTAACTTCAGCATGGGTAAAACTATTCTTTCCTTCTTTTTTCTCTCCCAGAGTTCTCACCACCTCCTCCCAGGCTAAACCCTTCATGTTGCAGGAGACAGAGAATCCCAGGTAAGACCTGGACTTTTTCTCCCCGCTCCCTTCCTTCCTTTTTTCACCATGTGTGTTCAGGATAAATTATCTTGGTTTTGTTTCTGGAGGGAAAAGGGCAGAGGCCCTGACTTGAATCTCAATCACATTTCTGCACACAGTACCTGAAGAGACAGAATAGCAGAGGGGTGGGAACAATTAACATTGCTCCATGGGCTTTAGAATGGAGAAAACATAATGCCCACTCTTTTTTCTTTTACCCAAATCCAACTTCAGTTTTCTCTCCAACTCTCTAAAACCACCACCAATACTATTATCATGTCATGTGTAGCTACTTGGGGGGTGGTGAAAGGCTGAGTGTGAATCATGTTCAGATAGCAGGGTGTTAAACGAAATAGTTCCTCACATCAATGCCCGAAGTCATCCTTGGTCACAATAAAAGAGAATAGAGAGAAAAAAGTATGATTATTGTATTAGATAGTGGGGTTGCAGGGTTTTTTTTTTTTTTTTTAATTATTTTGTTATGATGACGTCAATTTTTTAAGAAATAAAAGAATGGAAAAAGTTGACTTGGGATTTCATAATCCAAAGAAAAAAGCAAAACAAAAAACAACAAAAAGCAAACAAAATAAAAATTTATATGTAATACCAAATTTAATCCCTTCGTAACTCTGTGAAGTGGGTCAGTACTGATGGGTCAGCTTAACTAACAGATATTAGGAATAGATCCAAAAATAACCAGCCATGATCGCATAGCTTGTGGAACCCAAGTTCTCTGACACTCAGCCCAGTGTTCCACGTACAATGGCAACCTAAGCGAGGCGGGGGCCTCAAGAGATGAGGTGGTCGACCCTTGCAATGTCGATATTCTCCAGCTTTCTCAGAGCAAGTGGCTGAATCTCTTTCGTGACAGACAACTCACCACCTACCAAAGCAGCCCATTTTATTAAGTCTAATTTTTAAAAAAGATCCTTATGATGAGCACAATTCTGTGTCTCTCATACTCTATGGAAACGACCGATTTCTAACCTCTATGTCACCAAGAGTAAGTATAAATCTTCACATAATAGCCCTCCAAATATTTGAAATCTCTATAGTCGTAGCCAGGTATATTGCATCAAAATAAATGGCTATTTTCTGCAGGAGGGTTGGTCCAAATGTCCTAGCCCACCATTACTAGAAGCAAGAAGTCCTCCCTATTTTTTGAATAACTATATTTATTTGCTCAAATCATACTTATTAGGGGCCTGCTATCTGCCATGCAGTGGGGATGCAGCAATACACACGTCAAATAGACATGCATTTGGAGTGTGGAAGTTGGTGCCCACCCTAGTCGGGAAGCATCTCAGGATGTCCTCCTTGAGGAGATGACATGTCAACTGAGCCCAGAGAACAACAGGAGTTAACAGGGAAGAGTATTTCCCAGAGGGAGAAGCTGGAGGCAGCTGTAGTGAGGTGCTGATGGGTTCTGGCCACCACCTGGACCACCTAGATTTGATGTTTCTCCACCCCCACTTAGTTGTGTGACCCTGGACAAGTTTCTCACCCACTGCATGCTTTAGAACCCTCACTGTGAAACAGGAGATGTGACAGGAATGTTGTGAGGATTGTTTGAGTGAATACATATGAAGGACTTAGGACAAGCCTGGCACATTGTTAATGCTCAATCAATGTTTGCTCTCGCGACTGGAGGGAAACAAGGTAGCAGGCAGGAGCGGGGAGTGTGCAGACAGTTCCTGCTTAGCCTTTTAAGTCATTCACGGCCCAGCACTGTAACCAGAGAAGTGAGGATGAGACTTCCACTTTGAGAAAGGCCTCTCTGGCCGCAGCATGTAGAGGAATGGGAGGGGATTAGAATGTGTGTGCATGGACTAGGTGGGAGGTAACTGCAGGGCCAGCACCTATGGCACAGATTATCTCTCTTCATCCTGAACCCCTCCCTCTTCCCGTCTTGAATCCTTTTCCCATTCCTGACCACATCCTCTACCTGTCAGAACGTCACAGGTGTTAAGGAAGAGATTTCTGAGCACACTCTGGACAGAAGTCATGATGATGGGGCCCATGACTAGGAACCTGCTGGGAGGGGTGGCCTGCAGTGTGTCTGGAGTACACGGGGGAGCCTGGGAGCATCTTCTGTGGCCGTGGCCCAGGCAGGCCTGCATCACTTGGTGCTGTACCACTATCAGATCCACTACGGGAGCCATGTGCTGTCCATTCCACAAGGAGCTCTTTCAACAGGGAGACGTCAGGCACAACTGGATTCTAGCCACCTTGGTCTCCAGTCTCCTACTCTCAAGCCCATGAGTGACAATCCAGCACAGGAAATTTGGTTCTGTGAGCAGCATCTATTGGCAGGATGACCAGCAATTCTTGTGTGTGGTTTGCAAAGATCTTACGGAGTACAAATGTTACGTAGTGCTGCAGAAGAACAATGCTAGGTTCCACAGGTAGTCTGTCCTTTTGTTGTCTTGTCTACACCACAGAACCTTTGGTCGACTTGCCTTATTATTGGTTTCAGTCCTATTACAAAACAACAACAACAACAAATTATTGTATTCTAAACACAGTTCCAAATGCAACAATAGTTTATCTTTTAATCCTGTATTATACAGTTTACAATTACTTGCAAATGCATAGTACCTCACTCCAAAAAACCTCAGGCATCCAGGCATCACAATTTCTCTCTCTGCATGACATAGAAACTTCCATGTCACTAGAGGATTTCACAATCCATATACAAATCCCCTGAAGACTTCTAGGTGTAAAGGAAGCATCACTGGACACAACACTGAAAATGGCAATAGGCCAGGCATGGTGGCTCATGCCTGTAATCCCAGAACTTTGGGAGGCTGAGGCGGGAGGATCACCTGAGGTCAGGAGTTTGAGACTAGCCTGGCCAACATGGTGAAACCCCGTTTCTACTAAAAATACAAAAATTAGGTGTGGTGGTGCATGCCTGTAGTCCCAGCTACCAGGGATGAGGAGGCAGGAGAACTGCTTGAACCCTGGAGGCAGAGGTTGCAGTGAGCCAAGATCGCACCACTGCATTCCAGCCTGGGCAACAGAGTGAGACTCTGTCTCAAAAAAAAACAGGCAACAAAAGCCCTAGATAGATAGGGTTTTGTTTTTTTTTTTTTAGGTGAGCTATAACATCTGGGCAAATAAAAACACTATGTTATTCCTAGAAAAATGATATAAATCTAACTTAACCTTGTCAACATGGGGATTCATTATGTTATTCAGCAAACTAAAGGAACAGTAAGAATATAACTGTATCTCAGGTACAACTGGAACCAGGGATTTGAATGCAACTAAGACTCCCCACCTTTTATTTTCTCTTCTCTAGATTAGCCCAATTTTTTTACACATTTCCTGTATGAACTATAACTATAGCCATTTCTAGATTAATATCTTTGTCAGCAAAGCAAGACAGAGTTATTCTCTGGTCATGAAGAAGAGAATTCCAGAAAAGAGCTCTGAGTCAAAGGCCAAAATCCTGGCATATCTGGTGCTGTGCAGAGCTGAGAGACTGACTGAAGAGTGTGTCAGCAGTAAGCTATCCTAGGCATAGGGCCTGACCTAGAAATCAAAAACCCTAATGTAGCAGTATTGCATCATCTATAGCCTAGATTATGCTGCAATGATATACACCTCCCGTATCTCACTGGTATAAACCAAAAAGGTTTCTTTTTCATGCTACCTGTTCATCAGGAGTTGCTGAGGGGGTCACTTGGAGTCACTTGGAGATCCAGGCTTGCCAAGCAGCCACTGTTTTCAGCACCAGCTATTGCCCTGCTAGTGGGCAAAGAGGGAGCTCTGGAAGAACATAAACCCGCAGTTAAATTCCCAGTCCAGAAGAACTACACATCACCCCTGCTAATACCTCATTACAGGGCACAGATGATGACAATAATGACCTCTCAGGCTTAAGGACCCTTCAACTCTGAGAGAGGATATCTAGTGGTCACTCAGTTACTATCCTGTCTTTCCCTCAGGTGGAAGTGGGTGTGGTTTCCAACACCCCTAGCTATGTCCCCTGTCCGTGACAAAATCTTTGTAATCAAAAGTTTGAAGTATTTTGGAGTTCACAAGGGTATTTGTTTGCTGTTAAGACTCTTGCTGTCACTCCTACCTGACAAGAGATAATTTGTATAGACTATTAGACGTGTGACTATTTTTTTAAAGCACTAGGTATTTGGGGCAGGTCAACATGTTTCCCTATCAGAAATCACTCATAGATATGTTCTTTGAGGTCATGAATTCTATGAAATAAAAATAAAGAAAGTTATTGAGCCTCTCTTGGATGCCAGCACCATGCTCAGTACTTTCCTTTTTTTCAGTATACTCACATTACTGATTATCCTTCATTTTAGTTATGATCAAAGCAAGAGTTGAAGGAATGTCCTTGGTTTAAGGCTACACCCTAGGAGGCAGAGTCAGAATTTAAATCCAGCTTTCTTTCATTTGAAAGACTGTGCTCTGTGCTGGACCACACTGTACAGTTTTTAAAGTGATCTAACAACGACAGCATCCATCAGTGAACTTTGAGTTTACCAAACAGGAAATTGCTTTTAATGGGTTCATCTAATGGCAGGGCTAGCTCAAGGCAAAATTTTTTGCCTCCTCTCCCTCTTTTTCATTCGATACGATTCTGCTCTATCATCCAGGCTGGACTGCAGTGGCATGGTCACAGCTCACTGCAGCCTCAAACCCCTGGCTCAAGTGATCCTCCCTCCTCATCTTCCCGAGTACCTGGGGCTATGGGCACATGCCAACACATCTGCTGTTTAAAATTTTTTGTAAGGATGGGGTCTATGTTCCCTAAGGTGGTCTCAAACTCCTAGCCTCAAGCAATCCTCCTGCCTCAATCTTCTGAAGTGCTGGGATTATAGGTATGAGCCACCATGCCCAGTCCCCTTCTCCCTCATTAAAAATATTTTTTTAAATTTTTTTTCACTATTCAACTTCTATTTTAGGTTCAAGGAGTAGATGTGCAGGTTTGTTATATAGGTAAACTACAATGCCATGGGGGTTTTGTATACAGATAATTTTGTCGCCCAGGTCATCAGCATAATACCCAAAAGGTAGTTTTTCAGTCTTTACCCTCCTTTCGCCCTCCACCCTCAGGTAGGTCCTGGTGTCTATTGCTCCCTTATGTCCATGTGTACTCAATGTTTAGCTCCCATTTAAAAGTGACAACATACAGTATTTGGTTTTCTGTTCCTGCATTAATTGTCTTAAGATAATGGCCTCCAGCTCCATCCATGTTGCTGCAAAGGACATTATCTCATTCTTTTTAGCGGCTATGTAATATTCAATGGTGTATATATACTACATTTTTTTAATCCAGTCCACCACGCCTGGGCTTCTAGGTTGATTCCATATCTTTGCCATTGTGAATAGTGCCACAGTAAACGTATATGTGCATGTGTCTTTATAGGGCTAGCTCAAGGCGAAATTTTTTGCCTCCTCTCCCTCTTTTTCATTCGATACGATTCTGCTCTATCATCCAGGCTGGACTGCAGTGGCATGGTCACAGCTCACTGCAGCCTCAAACCCCTGGCTCAAGTGATCCTCCCTCCTCATCTTCCCGAGTAGCTGGGATTATAGGCGCCCGCCACCATGCCCAGCTAATTTTTGTATTTTTAGTAGAGACAAGGTTTCACCATGTTGGCCAGGCTGGTCTCAAACTCCTGACCTCGCCGAACTCCACCCGCCTCGGTCTCCCAAAGTGCTAGGATTACAGGCGTGAGCCACCACGCCTGGGCTTCTAGGTTGATTCCATATCTTTGCCATTGTGAATAGTGCCACAGTAAACGTATATGTGCATGTGTCTTTATGTAGAACTATTTATATTCCTTTGGGTATAGTAAAGGGATTGCTGGGTTAAACGGTAGTTTTAAGTTATCTGAGAAATTTCCAGACTGCTTTCCACAATGGCTGAACTAATTTACATTCCTATTTGCAGTGTATAAGCATTCTCTTTTCTCCACAACCTCACCAGCATCAGTTAGTTTTTGACTTTTTTAATAATAGCCTTTCTGACTGGTGTGAGATGGTATCTCATTGTGGTTTTGGTTTGCATTCCCCTAATTAGTAATATTAAGCATTTTTTTTCTTATGTTTCTTTTGAAAAGTGTTCATGTCCTTTGCCCATTTTTTAATGGAGTTCCTTTTTGCTTACTAAGTTCCTTATAGATTCTGGTTATTAAACCTTTGTCAGATGCACAGTTTGCAGATATTTTCTCTCATTCTGTAGGCTGTTTACTCTGTTGACAGTTTCATTTTCTGTGCAGAAGCTCTTTAGTTTAATTAAGGCTTACTTGGCAATTTTTGGTTTTGTTGCATTTGCTTTTGGAGTCTTCATCATGAAGTCTTTGCCAGGGCTGATGTTCAAGATGGTACTTGCTGGGTTTTCTTCTAGTATTTTCATAGTTTTAGGTTTTACATTTAAGCCTTTAATTCACTTTGAGTTGATTTTTATATATGGCGAAAGATAGGGGTTCAGTTTCATTCTTCTGCCTATGGCTATCCAGTTATCCCAGCACCATTTATTGAATAGGGAGTTCTTTCCCCATTGCTTGTTATTGTCAATTTTGTTGAACATCAGATGGTTTTAGGTATGTGGCTTTACTTCTGAGTTCTCTAACCTGTTCCATTAGTCTATGTGTCTGTTTCTGTACCAGTGCCATGCTGTCTTGCTTACTGTAACCTTATAATTTGAAGACAGGTAGTGTGATGCCTCCAGCTTTGTTCTTTTTGCTTAGGATTGCTTTGGCTATTTGAGCTCCTTCTTGGTTCCATATGAATTTTTGAATGTTTTTTTCCTAACTCTGTGAAAAATGTCATTAGCAGTTTGAAAAGAGTAACACTGAATGTGTAAATTGCTTTGACCAGTATGGCGGTTTTAACGATATTAATTCTTCCTATCTAGGAGCATGGAATATTTTTTCCATTTGTTTGTGTAATCTGATTTCTTTGTGCAGTGTCTTGTAAAATTCTCATTGTAGAGATCGTTCACCTCTTTGGTTAGCTGTATTCTTAGGTATTTTATTCTTCTTGAGGCTACTGTGAATGAAACTGCATTCTTCACATGGTTCTCTGTTTAGATGTTACTGGTGTATAGAAACGCTACAGATTTTTGTAAACTGATTTTGTATCCTGAAACTCTGCTGACGTTCTTTTTCAGATCTAGAAGCCCTCGGGAAGAGACCATGGAGTTTTCTAGTATAGAATCATTATCTGTGAAGAGAGATAATTTGACTTCCTCCCCTCCTATCTGGATGCCTTTTCTTTCTTTCTCTCACCTGACTGCTCCGAATAGAACTTCCAGTACTATGTTGAATAGGAGTAGTGAGACTGGGCATCCTTGTCTTGTTCCAGTTCCTAAATAGAATGCTTCTAGCTTTTGCCAATTCAATATTATATTGGCTTTGGGTTTGTCAGAGATGGCTCTTATAATTTTGAGGACTGTAACTTCAAACCTAGTTTGTTGAGGGTTTTTAACATGAATGAATGTTGAATTTTACCAAAAGCCTTTTCTGCATCTACATGTGGTTTTTGTTTTTAGTTCTCTTTATGTGATGAATCACATTTATTGATTTGGGTAGGTTGAGCAACTCTGCATTCCAGGGATAAAGCCTACTTGATCATGATGGATTAGCTTTTTGGTGTGCTGCTGGATTTCATTTGGTAGTATTTTGTTGAGGATTTTTACACATATGTTCATCAGGGTTATTGGTCTGAAGTTCTTTTCTTCTGTTGTGTCTCTGCCAGGTTCTGGTATAGGAATGATGCTGGCCTCATAGACTGAGTTAGGGAGGCGTCCCTCTTTCTCAATTTTTTTGCAATAGTTTCAGTAGGAATGATACCAGCTCCTCTTTACATGTCTGGTAGAATTTGGCTCTGAATCCATCTGGTCCAGGACTTTTTCTGGTTAGTAGGCTTTTTATTACTGACTCAATTTTTGGAACTTGTTATTGGTCTGTTCGGGGTTTCAATTTCTGGTTCAATCTTGGGAGGTTGTATGTTCCCAGGAATTTATCCATTCTTCTGGGTTTTCTAGTTTGTGTGCATAGAGGTGTTCATAATAGTCTCCAAGCGTTTTTTGTATTTTCGTGTGGTCAGTGACAACGTCCCCTTTATCATTCCTGATTGTGTTTATTTAGATTTTCTCCCCCCTCTGTTTATTAGTCTAGTTAGTGGCCTATCAACTTTATTTATTCTTTCAAAGAACCAACTTTTGCTTTCTTTGATCTTTTGTATGGTTTTTCTCATCTCCATTTTGTTCAGTTCAGCTCTGATTTTGGGTATTCTCTTCTGCTGGCTTTGGGGTTGGTTTGCTCTTGTTTACTTAGTTCCTCTACATGGGATGTTAGGTTGAGATCTATCTTTTTGATGTGGGCATTTAGCACTATTGTTTTCTCTTAACCCTGCTTTAGCTGTGTCCCAAAGATTCTGGTATGTTTTTATCTTTGTTTTCATTAGTTGTTAACAATTACTTGATTTCTGCCTTAATTTCTCTTTGTTTACCCAAAAGTCATTCAGGAGTAGATTAATTTCCACTTAATTATATGGTTTTGAGATATCTTCTTGGTGTTTATTTTTATGGCACTGTGACCCAGGAGTGTGGTTGGTATTTCAGGTTTTGTTTTTGTTTTTTGAGATGAGTCTCACTCTGTCAACCAGGCTGGAGTGCAATGGCACGATCTCAGCTCATTGCAACCTCCTCCTCCCAGGTTCAAGTAATTCTCGTGACTCAGCCTCCCGAGTAGCTGGGATTACAGGCACATGCTACCATGCTTGGCTAAGTTTTA